CATTCTTCAGATATAAAGGGAGGGAGGGAGGGAGGGAAACTGACATTGTCACCTGGTTGCCTACGTGCCAGGCTTCGTGCCAGGCTTTGTGCTAGTTGCTCTCATGTACAGGACATCATTTACCCTTCAAAGCAACCCTAGGAACTAGGTTATAATTGTGCTTATTTTTTAAAGACTCAGAAAAGTTAAGTGACTTGCTTGAAGTCACCCAGCAAACCAGAAACAGGGTCAAAATTTTAAGCTTCCAACTCTCTGACTGCCCCCATGGTCTGTTGACACCAATGATGTCCTTAAGGTCATCCCAGTGGTCAAACTCCAAATCAGCCATTGCTTCCTATCCCCCCATGGCCTCACACTCATCTCCCCAACACCTCTGACCCCACCCTTCTGACTCATCGACCTGCTCAGGGTTTTGGCTGCCAGAAAAGCTGGCCAATCCCAGCAATAGCCAGTCCTGTCTTCCCAGACCATTTCCCTGAGGCTGCTCTTCATGGTAGGACTGGGAGGCCTGGGGAGTTTTGTGATCGCAGAACTCTCCGGGCTGGAAACGCACCTGGCAGCTGAAAGTAGACGTCTTCCCTTACACTTTCTGTAAGAGGACCCAGCTCGGAGCCTAAGCCTCTCCTTACGGTGCCTGGATTTAGCTCTTGGGGACTGGGGGGTGGCATACAAGCAGCCCAGAGCCCACCCACGTCATGTTTAGAAGCCTCTGGGGTGGCAGCTGGTTTCATTGCTATTAAACCTATTTATTTAGCTGGGCACTTTAAGAGGCCCCTGTGATTACTGTCACTATGCGGGACAGCCAGGAACCAATTTTCTGAGGATGACAGATTTCCTCTCATTTATTGCTCTCAAGCTGTGGGTTCCTTCCGTGTTCTGGAGCAAAACCCTTTAAAAAGATGCCATCTCCTGGGACTCCCCCCACTCTCTGGGGTGGAGGAGGCTTAGAAAGGGGAGCTGTCCTGGCCTGCCCCCACTCAGCAACTTCTGTAAAATGGTGGGGACATTTCAGGAGCCTGAGGGAGCTGCAGTTCTACCCACTAAGGCACAGAGGAAGCCAAGCCAGGAGGAGGAAGAGGCGGGAAGGGTGGAGAGTGGAGGGTGGGCAGCCAGCTTAGAGCTGCTGCCTGGATGTCCTCAGACACGTGGTTCTCAGCTTGGGTTGCACATCAGCACCACCTAGGAGCTTTCAAAGACTACAGAGCCAGGCACAGAAATTCTGGTTTTATGGCTCTGGGTGTGGCCTGGGAATCAGGATGTTTAGGAGTTATCTAGGTGATTCTAGTATACTGGAGGTGCCCTAGATGGTCCTGCAGGTGTGAACAGACTGACGTTTCCCTAATAGATCTGCAACATAACCAGCGCCATTTTAGACAAGCCCAAGTACAAAATGGCACCGTCCACCTCTTACCCTGTCCTCCCCTGTTCTCTTTTACAGAGAGAAAATGAAATTTTTGGCATTTCCACATGTGCTGAACTCTCCATTCCCATGACCTAATTCAATTCCCCACCCTGGAATTACATCGCCCCGCTCTTGTAGCCAACATACCTATATAAGCTCTGCCACCCCTGCACCTGGTGCTGTCCCCTTTTTAGGGAAGCCCTGGGCGACCTGCCACTCTGAGCACAGCCTGGCAGATTTCTTTCTTTAATAAAGCTCGAACGGTACCCGGCATCTCGGCTCACTTTCTTTCACCCCTATGAAGAGGAATTGTCCAAGAATTGGAAATAGGCAAAAGAGACACCGGGCATGCTTTCAGTGCAGGGCCAGGTTTCAGCTGCTGTGATACATGATAATAAATATGCTGAAAGCCAAAGATAAAGAAAACCTTAAAGCAGCAAGAGAAAAACAATTCACAACTTGCAGTGGAACCCCAATAAGATTAACAGCTCACTTTTCATCAGAAACGATAGTTGCCCAGAAGGCAGTAGGATATTTACAAAGAAAAAAAACCATTGATCAAGAAAACTGTATCCAGCAAAGGTATTTTTCAAAAGGAAAAGCAAAACAACATTACCAGATCAACGAAAAGCTTGAAGAATGTGTTGCTAGCAGATCTCCCTTACAAACATACTGAAGGAACTTCTTCATTCTTAAATTAAGTCACCTTGGACAGTAGTTTGAATCCAAACCAAAATAATAATAATAAAAAGCCTGCCACTCTGAGCACAGCCTGGCAGATTTCTTTCTTTAATAAAGCTCGAACGGTACCCGGCATCTCGGCTCACTTTCTTTCACCCCTATGAAGAGAAATTGTCCAAGAATTGGAAATAGGCAAAAGAGACACCGGGCATGCTTTCAGTGCAGGGCCAGGTTTCAGGGACTTCCTGTCATACAGCAGTCTGTACCTTTGACTGTCTTTCTACTGACTAGTGTTGAAGCAAAACACTTCAGTCCGTCAGGAGATTTGTGAGGCTTTTATTTAGGTTTGCATATCGAGGAAGACCACCTCTCAGCCTGAGATGCAGCGAGGAGACTTTAGAGTTGCAAGTGCAGGAAATTCTAAGCTGTAAACAAATTCCAAACGCTGGGCGAAGACGGGATGGGTAACTGAGGGTGACACATGGAACAAATGCTTTCTCAGGCCCCTTATGCTATTCACGGCCACTCTAACCCAGGCTCCTCAACGCCTAGTTGACTTCCACGTGCTTAACAGGCTGACACACCCTGTCTCCCAGGACTTCTCTCAGCAGTGTCACCTGTGCTATCTTGTCCACGCAATGGGTTTCTTGATGATAACAAATGTAAGAGTCTCTTTGTCAAGCAGTAAATTCTAACAAAGGCACAGCTTCTTGGGCTAGAAGAAAATAAGTCAATTAAGTTAAAAAAAAAATGTGGTTCTTTTGTTCTCGGTTCCTGGCCTCTTTTCTTTCTGTCAGGAGGCTATTTGACAACTCTGATAGGGGAGAAGTTGAATAGTAGAAAACTAAGATAATTCTCATCCATAACAACGCAAATGGGCTCTGTCCTGCAGAGACACAATTAGTTTCTGTCCTCTAGAGGAGATGACCTTAAACGTTACCTTTTATTGCCCTGTAGGGACACCGACCAGATCTGCATCTATCAGCAAATTCATCCCAGTGTCCCGATTGCCTACAGACCGATTTGGATTTTCAAATTCTCCTTATGTCGATCTTAACCTATTTGTTCCCCACTAGTTAACGAGTGGAATAAAATTATCTACACATGTTCATTCCATATTTGAGAGTCATGTTTTCAATATTTTGAAAATTATCATTTAGCCACCCCCGCCCCTTTGGGAGAGCAGGATGCGTCTCCCTGTCCCCTCAGCACCCGGCACAGCACTCCGTGGTGGCTCGATCCCACTGTGCTGTGCTGTCTCCCCTCGCTGCCTCCTCAGCTATTCTCAGGGGCCCGAGGCCTGCATGTCACCCTGCTGCTTGTGTCTTAGGATGTTTGTGTTCCCTGCACCTGGTACAGGGT